CTGCACAGAGCTCTTCAATAATAACCATCAAGAGGAAAGCGGGCTAGCCAGCCTCTCCCTCGGCCTTCCCCAAGTTCAAGCAAGCCACTTCTGTCTTCATCAATGCACCAACGTCTCCAATACCTAGAACAACGTCCAAGGTCATCCCAGCAGCAAAATGACCCTCACTAAAGATGGAGATACTCCCTGGGAAGCTGAGGGGCTAGGAGCGGAACACAGGGGCGTCTCTGCAGAGGAGAAGCTTGGGCAAAGAGCTCACAGCTGCTCCTGGATCAGACGCGTTGTCTTAAGTGTGAACTGTTCCGTCCCATATGCTGACTCCGAAATGTCCGTCACTCCAGACCTAAGATTTTTGCCCCGGGTCACTGCGCTGATTCATGAAATCCCCCGATTACTTAAAAAAAGGGTTTTAAAGTTGGGACGCCTGGGCGGTTCAGTCGGTCGAGAGTCCGACTCTTGATCTCAGCTCAGGTCTTGATCTCAGGGTCATGAGTTCAAGCCCTGTGGTCAGCTCCACACTGGGCATGGAGCCTACTTTAAAAAAAAAAAAAAAAAAAAGAAGGATTTTAAAAAAACTTTTAAAGTTGAAAGCATCCACTTTAGTTTCACTCTACCCAAAAGTATCTGGGGGATATTATGGGTCTGGGCGCAGTTTATGTTTTTTTCAAAATAGCAACTGAGAAAAAGACATTAATTGATCACAAGTAGGCAGAGAGGCAGGCAGAGAGAGAGAGAGGGAAGCAGGCTCCCTGCTGAGCAGAGAGCCTGATGCGGGGCTCGATCCCAGGACCCTGGGATCATGACCTGAGCCGAAGGCAGAGGCTTTAACCCACTGAGCCACCCAGGTGCCCTCCACTGCAAATTTTTAAAATTAATTATTATTATTTTTATTTTTATTTTTAAAGGGAGGCCATTTGCCACATAAGCTGGTGATCAGAAGCTTCAGAACAGGAAATCTTCAAAGTGCCTTCTCTAAGGGAGTCTGCACTGAAGGACGGAACTGTCCATCCCTCCATCCTCCATAGCGACAGCTGATGAAGTCACGCGTGTATTTCTCCAGATCACCTTGATGCTGAATGTCACGCTGGTGACCCTTCCCCCAGTTCTAGACGTAGGAGTGCGAGGAAGCTTCTAGAAGCTGAGGTCATCCAACCCGTCCACAGGGGGCGGGAGTGTGGGCCACCTCTTCACCCTCAGTTCCCTTTTAGATCAACAGAAGCCCTGCTTCCCAAGGACGGTGAGGGCCAGAGCAATTCAATTATTCTGGTTAATGACAACTCATTAGGTAGACGAGATACTGCGTGAACAAAACCAACAGTGTCTTCAAATGGGAAAGAGGGAGGGACTCATTTAGCCGGTTCGCCTCCAGCCCCCCTCCTCGCTACATCCTACCCCAGGATGGGCCAACATCCAGAGTCTGCAGCTGTGCCCGAGAGTGACCCAGTGCCCAGTGGGAAGTGACCCACTGCCTAAGCATGGCTTCCTGCCCACCTTGCTCCCATTAGTACGTAAGCGTGGAAACCCAGCATCCCAAGTGGGATCCTGACCCTGGGCACCTGGCCTGGAATCCCAAGGACCAGTCCTAAGCCACTGGGCTCCTGGGCACTGAGTCCCTAGATCCAGATATAGTCCTGGTTCCACTGCCAAACTCCTGGGTGATCTTGGGTGACACCCCCCCCGCACTGTGGGTCTCTCATTGTCAGACTGGGACTTCCTAAGGTTCTCATGCCCTTGAAATCCCCCCAATCTTAGCCCATGGCTGGCCTGAATGCAGAGAGCTCTCACCGCCAGGCCTCCCGCCAGGCCTCACCCCAGGCCTCCACCCAAGGCTTGGCTGCCTGGAAGAGCCCAAGTGACTGGAACAGAGCTCCGCTGGTTCTCCTGCGTCAGAGACACCCCCTCAGCCCCCACCCCGGGTATCAGGTTACTAGCGCAGCACTTTCTCTCCCTGGGTGGCAGCTCGGGCTCTGATATTTTTAGACTCCCCCCTTGGCCTGTCCCTAACGAAAGCCAGATGCGTCTGAACACGATTCCACTCTTTGCCCTCTTTGGGTAACTCCTGCAGGAAGCCAGACTCCATCCCTCCTGGGGCAAGGAGGGGAGCCTCGTCTTCCCGCCACCCCAAACCCCACCCCCATCCTTTCCCAGGACGAGCTGAAGCCAACCTCCAAGAGTCAGGCCTCCAGTCTGTCCACGGCACCAGCTGCCTCCTGTCCCCAATTCCAGCTGCTCATGCCAACTGCCTACTTTCCTAAGCCCTGCCATGCGTCCAGAGCCAGTTTTTCCTCCCAGGAAGCTCGTCACGGACTTTCACCTGCCTCCTCCGGGAGGGTTCTGCTCCCCAGTCCCAGCGCCTGGGACCCCAACCTCCCTTTGTCACCCCTTTGAGGGATGGCTGCCACCACCCTGCTCTGCAGCTCCCCGTGGCCTGTGTCAGAGGCCCCAGCTGTCCACAGAGCTGGACAGTGGCCACAATCCAACGCCATCCCATCTGGCCTGGAAGGGCATTTCTATATTTTTGTCTCGACAGACTTCCCCTCCCGGTCGTGTCTGGCCAAGGTTACTATGGCATAGGGCTGGCCTCTGCTGGGCTCCCCATCCACCCGGAAGGCGGCAGAGCCGGACAGGAGAGTCCCCAGGGATGAAAATCGGGCGGTCGAGTCAACCTCTGAATCACCTGTTGCCGTAAAATGGAGAGTCTGTGCGCACACGCACGTGGGTTGAGCTTCTGCCTGGAATAGCACAGGCGAGGCAGAGAAAGGAAACCTAGGCGAAACTTTTGCTTCCACTCCAGGAAGAGAGGGCCTTATAAAACACGCGTGTGTGCGGGGCGGGGTGACCAAGCGGATATGTCCTGCGCTTACAGTCACATGCCGGGGGCCCTGCTAGCCCCTCGTGAGCTGTGCCATGGACGCGGGACCACGCCAGCCAGACACGGTGCCACCTCTCCCCCTGGGTGAGGTGCTGCAGCAGCCGCCCCAGAGCGTCCCCACCAGGCTGGCCACCTCTGTGCCTTCCACCACCAACACCGGTCCCCAGGTCTTAGGTGAATCTCAGTTTCCCCACTTTGGGGGCAGAGGGGGCTCCAGGCTATGTGGCCCGCTCTCAGACTCTCACTCCCACTCCCCAATTCCTGGCGGGGGTGGAGGCCGCGGATCACAAATCCCTTAGTGGGAAAACAGGTTTGGCGCCTTCCTGCCACCCCCATGCCCCTCCCTCCACTGTGGGCTTGGCATCTGCCAAGGCCCCCCTGGGCATCTGGGCCCTGGTTTCTCCAGAAGTTTCTCCCCCGCATTCCAGGAAACCCACCAGGGCATTGCCAGGTGAATAAAGGGAAGGCTTGGGGAGAGGCTCATGGGGGTTCAAAGTCTGGCTCTTGGTACTTACTGGCTCAGTGATCTTGAGAAACTGACTTCATGTCTCTGGCCTGGCTCTCCCCACCTGCCACCTGGGAGTGGGGATGGAGGCAGCTGGGTGAGGCTTCCAGAAGGGGAGAGCGTGGGTGCCCTGCACACTGCCAGGTGCCCTGCAAATGCTCCATTAGCTTTGGTTTTCATCTTGGTCCCTTCTCGACTCCTGGGGAAACCTGGGCTCCTGCCCCATCCTCAGCCTCCTTCCACTTCCTTATACTGAGGCCAAATTCTGGGCAGAGGTGACCTGCAGCGGTCAGTACCTCTGGGAGTCCTTACTAATTCAGACGGAAGCAGGGAGGGCACTGGAGACTTCTTTATTTCTTAAATTGTGGTATAATATACATGACCTCCTATCAATCATTTAACCACCTGTAATTGTAGATTTTACGTACATTAAATACATCGAAAATGTCACGTAACCATCATCACTCTCTACATCCCAAATGTTCTCACCCAACAAAAACTCCAGACCCAGTAAGCAATAACTCCCCACCCCCTGCCCCAGGCCCTGGTAACCTGTACTTTCTGTTTCTGTCCCTACAAATGTGCCCTCCTCAGTGCCATCAGCAGGATCACACAGGATCTGGGCTGCAGGTTTCTCAAACCCTTCACTTCTCCTCTGTCCGTCCCTTTTCAGGCTGGTCTCTCCACAGCAGACACAGCCAAGGGTAAACACCGCCCCCCCCCGCCCCGCCCTACACACACATCTTTGGGAGGATGTAGTGAAGCTTTTCCCAAACCTGAAACTGGGCTGTCTGCCTCATGCCAAAATAAGGTGTTGGGTTCTTTGCCCTGCGGGGTGTCTGTCCTATCCAAGTACCCTCCACTGGCCCCTGGTTATGTTCCCCTGCCAGCCCCAAATTAGGACCTCCCTGGGGGTGAAGCTTAGGACCCTGGATTTGGAGAGTGTATAGTCCCTCTATACATGAGCTCTGGCCTCCCCTTTCTCTGGAATCCACGCTGGGGTCTTCAAACACCCCCCCCAACCCCAACCAGAGTGGGGAGCGAGAATCAGTCATCCCAGCGGCGTCCCCAGGCTCCTCCAGCGCTCCAGACCTAAGGAAGTTGCTCCTCATCGCTGGGGGGCGCAACGGAGCCGCCGCCGGGGCCGAGGAGGGGACCCGCCGGTCCCGTCCGCTCGGTGAGGCTGGGGACCCTGCGTCGAGGCGCCTGGGACCTTTCCGCGACGCCGGACTGCCCTGGACTCCGAGAGCCCTGGGAGCTCGGCTGGCGGGGGCGAGGGGAGCCGCCCTGACTCCTCCCCAAACTTTTCCCGCCCGCCTCGGCGCAAAAGGCGCAGGAAGCAGTCCGGGGGGTGGGAGGTGGAATTCGGGGTCCGGGGCGAACTCGGCACAGTGGTCGGGGGACGTCCGCGCCCTGGTCGTCTGGCGGAGGACCGGCGGGTTTTCGGTACGGATGGGCCTCGGCTCCTCCCTACCCGCCCCCCCCGCACGGCAGAGACCCACCTCCGTGGGTGCGGGGGCTCGCGGCCCGCTCCCCAGGGCGCACGCTGCTCGCAGCCCCCCGACGTGGCCCCCGAGCCCCGCGTCCTGTGCGCGCCACGCGGGGAGGGCGAACCCCACTCACCAGGCGCTGGCGGCTGGACGGACGGACGGGCTGGGGCGCGACGCGCGGCCACCGGGCTGTTTTGAAGCTCTGGCTGGGACTGCGCGCTCTCCCTCCTCCCTCGCCGTGGCGCGGAGCCTCCTCCCCGAGTCCCCTCCTTCCCGGATCCCGCCTCCCGGGGCGTGATGTCAGGGGCAGGGAGAGCCGAGTGGGAGGGACGGCGGCAGGCGGGAGGGGGACGCTGGCGGGAAAGGCCGCAGCCCCGGGAGCGTCCCCGGTCCCCCCTTGCCGCCTCCCTGCGTTCCTCGGGCCAAGTTTGGGGCGGAGGCTGTCGCGGGGTTGGGGAAAGAGGGAGAAAAGCGCCGCTCCTTCGAGCCAGGAGTCTCTCCCCCGCGCCCTCTTTGACGGGTTTCCACTCCCTCCCCTCCCTGGTCCCAAGGCTCCCCCTTTCTTCTCTTCCCTTCCTTCCCGTAAGGGTGAAGAACGAGGGCTCTGGAATCCGACTCCCTGCTTCAGAACCCCTTCTCGGGCGCTCTTCTTCGTGACCCTGTCTTTCACGTGTCCCGCCTCAGTTTCCCCATTTGGAAACCGAGAGGACTCATGTGCTCTGGAGGTTCTGGGGGGGGGGGGATGGGGAAGGAGGCCAGAGGGACCCAAGCCCCATCCATGGAGGGGAGGCAGCGGTCAGTATATGGAAAAAGTGAAGAAATTCCAAAACCGGGCCACAATGGGACAGTGTATTTTAAGCTTTTAATTTAACAGGCTAATGCTATCTGGATACACCCCAAAATACAAGGCAGAAGATTGTGCTACAGAAGAGAGAATCAGAAACACCTTTAGGAAGTACTAATTCATTGTGCACTAGCTGGTGGGGCTGGAATGCCATGTTTAAATTGGCTGGTGCAGGACACCCTGGCGGCTCAGATGGCTGGGCGGTTGCCTTCCGCTCAGGTCCTGACCCAGGGTCCTGGGATCGAGCCCTGCATTCGGCTCCTTGCTCTGCGGGGGAGTCTGCTTCTCCTTCACCCTGCCACTCTGTCCCTGCTTGTTTGTGCTCTCTACTCTCTCCGACAAATAATTAAAATCTTTAAAAATAAATAGTCTGATGCCTGTCTTTTTTCAATCCTGCTGGGAAGCTCTGCATGGGAAAAGCCTCCCTGGGTGAAAATTAGAGATCCTTAGGATATCCAGGTCCCCCTCTAAAGGGCCACCCCACCCCCCAAGGTCCTGAGGTTCCCCAGCTGCTCCAGTGGCTCATCTGCTATCTCTCTGTGAATTCTGGAATTTACTGGCTGCTCAAGACCACCTTCCCCCAGGCAGGGGACTTTCTGGAGGGCTGGAGCAGGGCCAGAAAGACAGTCATCTGAACTGAGACCCTACCTTTAAAAGGGAAGGGGAATGGGGTCTGGCTGTTGCAGAAGAGGCCCAGGTCAGGGGCCCACGCACCAGCAGGGGCAGCGCAACCTGCTGTCCCATGGCCCCCTGGAGGACAGAGGGAACTCAGAAGCCTCTCCCAGAATGGACAGTCCAGGTAAGGGCTGGGGCAGGTGGTTTCTACCCTTTGGGGAGTGTTTACTGTGTCCCATCACTTTGCAAACATTACCTTCGTTATAACACATGAAGAAACTGAAGGAGAGAAGCTACTTAAAAGCACCTGCCAAGAGCCCTGTGGGACACATGGAGGGTGGATTTGAACCCAGACGGACAGGGGCAAGCCCCACTCTTCTGTTCCTACCACATCACTATTTACCAAACACTAACCATGGCCAAGCCATCATTCCTGCCCTGTTGCCCTATCAGACATGGCACGTGGACAAGCATTCACTTTTTTTTTTCCCTTTAAATCAACTCTGTTTATTTAGCTATATTTATTTCAAAAGGAAGCCCTATAACATCCCAGTAAACAGGACACCAGTGCCATTCACCAGAGAGGACAAACTTAACAGACACAAACATCAACCCCCCCAAAAAAACCCAGTGTTAGTATATCCTAGCCAAATCCTGTTGCCTGAAAGGGTCCGTGAACCCAAGGTTTGGGATCTATCAGCCAGCCTGGGAGGTATCGGGGACTCGCTAGCCCAGAAGGAGATTCCCCTTGTCATCAGAATCGTTGCAAGATCACCAGGAAAGGGAAACTGGCTCTCACTTTGATTCAAAGGTAGGAGGTGCCTCCTCCCCATATCGTATCATCCAAACCACCTCCCCTGCGCCTGCCGGTGGGCCGTGCCTCCCCGTGGGAAGAACCTGGCCAGACACCAGAGAGCCTCTCCAGGACCCAGAGAAAGGAGTGGATCCACTGCTCCTCTCTATTGTTCCCAAAGCCACTCCAGAGCCCCACCTAGCCTGCCTGTGATCACCTGTTGCCTGTGCCACATTGTTCGGTTTCTCTAAATACAGTCCTTTCTCTCCAGTGAGACTCGAGGCAGAGACCTGCCTTTACCCACTTGTAAAGTGTAAATGTTTCCATTCCGGGTGCTTCCATAAGCTTGAAGCCTCAATGCGGTACAGGGAGGGATGGGGAGGGGAATAAGCATCTGCTCCATTGACTTCCCCCAGCCTCACAGCCAGCAGAGCATACATCCCCCCACTTGACCTTGAGCTACACCACTGACAGGCTTTGGCCAAAGGGATTCTTAGCAGACAGGACATGCACACAAAGGCTGGGAATGTGCTTAGGCACCAGGGCTTGCCTTCTTATGTTCCTGCCCTTTCCATAAGCAGAATATACATCCAGGAGCCCACTATTCCCAGAAAAATTAAAGACTTGGGGAGCAGAGCTCCCCTCGATGACCTGCAGAACTTCCATCCTGGACACAGAGCTCCTCCAGCCAAGCTGCAGACACGTGAATGAGAAACGCCTGTCTACTGTTGTGTGCATCAAAGCCTCATGGTTGGTCATTTCATAGCAGTAACTGCGTGAGAAAAGGCTGGGGGTGGGGGGTCGGGGTAGAGGAGACAAGGTCTCCTGAGAACTCTGTTATCTCTTGTGTGTCCTTTCTGGCTGGAAGGTTTTAAGGTTCTGCCACTTCTCTTGACTCCGTTCTTACAGGGAATGACTAGGGGCTGCAGCGGGATAGGTCATGGAGAACATGTGGGCTTTTGTCAAGAAGGATCGAGACCTGAAAGAAAATTACCTCAATCCAGAAAGTTAGGATGGGAATGGATCAAATACGAATGTGATCTGACCATGGAAACCTGCTTTTGGTTGGCGGGCCTGTTTAAATTTGACAGATGGCGGGCGGGTCTCTAGCTCCCAATCAATCAGTATTTCCTTCGAAAACAAACTGGTGGATAGGCCGCTAGGACAGCCCCACACGATCCGGCCTCCCCCAGGAGCTCAAACCCCTTGTGTAATCCCCTCCCCTGGAGAGCCGGGGGGACACACAGGTGGCTTGATAAGACCAACACAATGGATGTCACTTCTGTGAGTAGGTTAGAAGGGTGACTTCCGTCCTGCTAGCAGACCGTCTCTTGCCTTCTAGGCTTGCGTGCTTCCGTGAAGCAAGGAACACATTAGAGAGGCCCGTGGGCTAAAAAACCAAGGACGGCTCTGGCCAACAGCCAGCTAGAAGCTGAGGCCTTCAGCTCCCTAGCCCCTGAGGACCAGAGTACTGCCCACAACCACGTGTACTGGGAAGCAGATCCTTCCCCAGCTGACCCTCCAGGCGAGACCCCAGATCTGGCCAACACCCTGACGGAAACCTTCTGAGAAGCTCTGGGGCAAAGAACCCAGTTAAGCCATGCACAGATCCCTAACCCACAGAGACTCTGAGTTAATACACATGTGTGGCTTTAGGCTCCTACGCTTGGGGGTAATTTGTCATGCTGGGATAGATAACTAACAAGCGAAGAAAAGACTTAATATCCACCACCTCAGATGTGGAGGGACAGGGTTCTGGTTGTGATCTTTGTATTGGTCAGGATAGGCTGGGGGATGCCATGGTAACAAACGACCCCATGATCTCTGGCTTGCAACACAGGTAGTGCTGTATGTTCTATGTGCATTATGGGTTGATTGGGACCATGTGCCTGTATCATCTTGACTTCCGGCTGCAGGCTGATGGAGCAGCCTCTACGGGGACCATTGCTGGTCTCAGGGAGGTGGGAAGGTAAGACAAAGCACACACTGCCTAATAAGTCATCGGCATGCTCACATTTCATGTGCAAAGCACGTCACAGAGTCAAGCAGCAAAAAGAAAAGAAAAGAAAAGAAAATCTCCCACTGGCCATGTCATCCTGGCAAATCATTTCATCTCCCAGGGTCCAACTCTTATCTCTGACCTTGGCTTACAGCTCTATACGCCTCTGGAGGTAGGAAAGCAGCGAGCACAACCATAGAGCTCACAAGCTACATTTTCTCTTGGCTCCTCTTCCAGAAGCAGGAGCCTCAGACAAGGAAAATCCTCAGACGCAGGGAAAATCCCAAGCATGAAGGCGACAGGCAACTACTGTTGGGCCAAGCCCCTCCCCACAACCTTCGCTAACCAAATGCCCTGCCATCAGCCCTTCTAGGCTGGGATCAGCTGGCTGCCCATCTTACCGTGAGAGAGACAGCTGGGAAAGCCGCTAGTGTTGCTCTATGGAGAGCCAGGGGACCTGAGTTCCTGGAGTGGGATCTGAGAAATACACTCTCTTGAGAGCCCATTTCCTGTTTGTCGCCCACCTCCACAGACCAGGCTGGGCAGGATGGAGAGAATGGTTTCCAGCAGAGAAACAAGCGCCTGCTCCCCACACCTGCCCCATGCCCGAGGCCTCCAATGACAGCTCGGAGCTCTGGATCTCATCCTTCTTCCCAGCCATAAAATCTCCTGCAAGTCGTGGTACAAATATTGCCCGTTTCCCTTCGGACTGAGAGATTTGACTATCGTCAAAGTCAGAGGGGGCATCGCAGAATTTCCAAACCTCTGGAGATACAGCCCATAACCGCATCATAATGGGCTTTCATGTCTTTTCAAGACACCACGTGTTTCATGAATGCAAATGTACAGTGAGCACAACACACCTATAGGGGTTGGGTCTGGGTTTTCCCCATGATGGCAGTGTCTGGCGCTCAGCCCCAAAGCCTCTGGCTTCTTCA